AACAATCCTCGAGTTCTTTTCGTGTTAACAACTTTAAAATCATCTTTTCGTTTTATACACAAACGAAGAGACGGGAACGAAAGAAAGGACAGAAGAGAATATCTTGTTTTTTTCACGATTGATTACGTTAGACTGTCTAGCAATCAAAACTTGTCTAAATGTCTTGGTCAACAGAATGCCGCGCATATTAGATGTCAGCTATTTGTGAGAAAAACTCGGGGCTCTTCGGGGTCGGGGATCCCGAAAAAAATTTCTCTGGGTCGGGGTCGGGACCGGAGAGAAATAAAAAATATTTTCGGGTTTCGGGGCTAAAAAGTTTGACCCCGCTGATCTCTACTAGTGACACACCATCTCATCATTGCATCGCGATAATGAAATGCAAAGGCATGATAAATCTAATGAAACTACTTCGACATTATCAACGAAAATTAATGGACTTTTAAAAACACAATATTGGAATCAATTTGCTGCTACTCATTTTGTTGAAATAACCAACGAATTCAGACGAGACGTATGGATAAAGCAAATATTGATGCATTCAAAACTAATTCACAACTTAAGTAAGATATATAAATATATTTCTTATCTTAATTACTTTCAAAGTAAATTTTCAGTCCTATAGGATGAAATTAGATGAGATTCGATTGTCTTTATCCTTGTTGAGGACTAAATATGATGAAAAAAGAGGGTGAAATATTCTTAAGAAATAAGTTAAGCAGAAGATTTGATTTGTAATCGAAAGCGTCTTGTAACGTTGAGAATCTCAAAAATGATCATTTGAAATGAAACTGATTAACTCATACGGTATGATCTAATATCTTCTGTACTGATCAAGATTGAACTTCTGTAGTCGCTAAATTGATTAAAGGGGGTCTATGACTATTGTGTGTAAGGCAATGGTGTGCAGACAATTGTGTGTATAGACAATTGTGTGTAAGACAGATGTGTGCAAGACCATTGTGTGTATGGACAATTGTGTGCAGACAATTGTGTGTAAGACAATTATGAGAACAGACGGTCATGTGCATGCACGGGTGTGGGTGTGGGTGTGGGTGGGTTAAGAGAAGACCAACACCCACACCCACACCCCAACTGTTTGATCATCATCTTTATGAAATGAAGGTAAGTTGTAGAAGAAATATAAGTGCTGTTAAATTGTATAATGGAGTACCAAATTCAACATGAACATCAAATTCTTGTGATCATTTTATTTTTTCAATATGATTTTCTCTATCAATTGTTAATTCTCCAATAATATTTAATGAATTTTCAAATAATTGTAGACTTTTTTCTAATGATAAAGCAATTTTACGTGTTTTATTTAAAAAAATCTAACCAATTGAACGTTTATATAATATATTAGTATTTCATTTTAATATACCAAATGAATATAATGTTAACCAATGATGTACATCAATATTTGATATACCATGTAAATGATCATCATTACCACGTAAATATTCTAATTCATTATCAATATATACTAATGGTGGTTGATTTTCTTTTCAACAATCAATATTAAGGTGAGCATAATGAACAAGTACTGGTTGAGCAAGTTAATTGTGATGATATATGATTAAGACATCCTTATTTTGAATCTTATTCTAATACTAAATCATGTGTTATATATGGTAAATATTTCAATGATAATGAAAGTGTAACATGTGTTCGTAATGAACCATCAACCAGTTGTATTACGATCAATAATAAGATTTCTATTTATTTCTTTTAATGCATCATCAATACGATAAGCAATCGAATTATATATTGATAATATTTCTGATTGTTTTCTTACATTACCATGAAGATTAATTAATTAAAATGATTCATGTTTAGGTGCTTTAAGTGTTACATTATAAACACCAATAAATGATTTAGATGAATCTCTTTTTGTTTGACAATCAAAACGAACAAATAAATCAAGTTCCATATGATTTTTATCTTGAACGAGATTTGTATCAATATTTCAGTGTGTTGCTAATAAACATCATTTCGGACAAATAACAAAATTTCCTTTTGATGTTGCGTTTTTTTTTGTTTATTATCCCATTGTAATTCTGATGTACTTTTACTACAAAATAAATGATTATCAATTACTTGATCAACTTGACTATTATATGTAAATGAAGCTGAACGTTGATGACAACGAAGATCATATTGAAATTAATAATTAATTTTATTAAGTAATTCAAAATCAAGATCAGATAAAACATCAAAAGCAAATGGACGTGAAATATCAGCAAAGTCATTTATCAGTATTATTAATAATATGAATTTTATTTTCTATATCAAGTGTTAGTGATAATGTTTGAATTCCTAGAAAGAAGAAGAAAGATATACTTGGATATAAGAAGATCTAATTAGATCTTTTCCTATAGCTAGTACTAACTGTAGCTATGAACAGCAGGTTGATCTCATTCAGAATTCTTTCGCTCAATCACTTGAGCTTCCTGTATACGCTAACTAACCGCAAGAATCAGTGTATGTTACAATGTAGCTAATATGCTATCGTATAGATAATCAGGAAGAAACAGTCGTTATTAACTTGTTCAGGCTCATTTGATGTCTAATGTCATCTAGACTTGAACAAAATACTTTGGTAGTATGTGATAAATAACTTAACTGCTCAACCATAGTAATTCGACTGTACAAAAAGCGATTAGAATTGTTAGAAATTGATTTGGCTCTCTCGTCCAAGAATTCATGCTTGAGAAAAAATACCTATTAAATGAACTCGTATTTCAATTCAGAAGATATATAGAAAAACTAATTAGACCAGAAAATTATAGGAAATCGAATCATACTTATGTTTACTATCGAGTAGAGATGAAACGAATAAAGGACAACCTATTTCTATTTCTGTTAGTGAGTTCGATTAATAGAGATAATTAATAGAAATCATTGAAACTGAAGCTAGAAATAATTAATTATCTTATTCGACTCCAGTTTTATCAAGCTTCATTCATTACGATAATTTTAATTATGAGAAGAAAACAGAAAAAGTTATCAGTCTTTCTAGTGTTTCAGTCAATTATTTCAGGTTCGTTTATATACTAATTAATTTAAAACGAACCACAATGGCTAATGTATTTGATGATCTACTGAACGCGAATAATTTGAGACAAGTAACCGTCTATCATTTATTTCAGACTTTGACACAGCGGTAATGTATAAGATGGACGTTCTAATTTCCTAGTTATCCCGTACAGATCCTTATAAACTGATGACTTTTTCTAGCTATTGTAGAAATTCTATCACTCTCCATTAAACCAAAAAAAAAATATTACTCGCTGAATCAAACCTTTTTTGATGCTTCTGAACTATGTCGATGTTTATGAATCAATAAGAAAATTGGATGCATCTAATTTTGATTTAACTTGAATTTTTAAATTTGCTTCTGGTGATATTAATTGTCGCGTTTGATGAGCTATTTTAAAAGAACGTTGAATATATTCAAGTTCTATTCTTTCTTGTATTGGCGAACTACGTGCTAATATCAACAAATCAAGTAAACTATGAACTGTTGCATTAGCTAAATCACATGTGCAAGTAAAATCTTTTTTTCATATCATATAATTTTAATGGTTCTTCACGGGTTGATGTGAGTAATGTTAAATGTGATAGAATATTGTAATTATTTTGAACATTTTCTTTATTATTTTTACGTTCATAAACAAAATCATAACCTAATGTCATTGAGTAATGTAATTCAATATGTGTATGATTATCATTACGTTCTAAATATTCTTTACTACTATATGTTGTATCACCAAGATGAAAATTTTCATTAATATGAAAAAGTTTTTCATTTGGTTTATAGAAATTTCTACGAACTAAATACAAAAGAAAAAAAGATAAGAAAAAAAAAACAATTTCCAATGAATTTTAAATGATCTTGCTTTATCTGATGTTGTTAAATCAATATCAGCTGTAAGACCTTGACCACGATTTAATCAAATTTCTCTTGTTAATCTTCCAACTTCTTTATTATTTCAACTATCAACAAGTTTACTTTCCAATCAGTTGCAAGAACTCTTGATTTTTCATTAAGAAACTTAAATTCACATGTTCGTCTTTGATTAGTAGCAATAGCTGAAATATTCAAATTGAAGATTTGATAAAATACTAACTTGTATTGTTTCACCAATACTTGTCAATAGTGATGATATTTCACCTTGAAATGTTAATGAAAAACTCAATCTTAAAAAAACAAACAAATTCAATAGAAAAATAAATAAATAAAATTCTTACACTAATCGACTAGTTAATGAAAATATTTCGAATTTAGAATGATCACAAGTATTTTTTAATTCAATTGTTAAATCAACAATAAAATCAAGTTCAACTGATTTATATAATGTTAAACCATTAGCAGTTACTGATCTTACACCTATTTATAATGGTAAACAATATTGAGGATTTTTCCAATAAGATCTTTTAATCTATTTAATAATTGATTACGCACAAATGTATATAAATTACTATGAAGAATATCGTGAACTTTATCTGTAACATCACATGAACGTATATCAGCATCAAATAATTTAAAATAAAGATGAGTAGATAGATTTGGATCTTCTTCTTTTTTGAGCATAAGCCTAAGAAACAAAAAAGAATATTGTTTTTTTTTTTATTCGTGATTCAACAATTTAAAATAAAACTTACATCTTCAAGTTTTTTTGTGAAACACGACCTAAAGGGAATGTTAAAGTATTTAGAGTATAAATTTGGACCTACCACCTCCGTTCTTCCACAGACGTGATAGACAAGCTTAGCAATGATACATCACAGACAATAACAGAAAACATAGTAACGAAACTAAAGCACAGATATTATTCTTACAGACCTTAGCAACGGTGGTCAAAGATCATTGAGTACATTTTTCTTAGTAGCGAGGGGAGTGGTGACAATAAGGATCAATACGTGCATCTTCCTTAGCAACAGGAGGGGAGGCGGTAGTTACAGATTATTGAATATATTTTCTATGAGAATATGTGAGTTTCACGTTTTGGACTCGAACGGACTGTGCTGGCAAGCTTTTAGCAAGAAGTTATCGTAGAGATGATAGAAATCTTACCAAACAACCGCAGACTGGGATGAATATCTAGATTATACCATTACAGTGTTAGCGGCTCCGTCGTGTTTCACATTTTTAATCTCGTAGAAATTGCACGACACAGCTTTTTTACACCAGGTTGTAAATTATTTTTAGTTTTAGTTTTATAATCATCATCATCAACATCTTTTTATTTTTATTTAAATGAATCTAAGCGTAAGAAATAATCAATAAAATTCCAATCAAGATTTTCAATAACAAATGCAGCATCCATCCATAATAAACGAAGTATTTTACGACGAATATCATCAAATGCTAATTTAATACCAATAAATTATGATACAACTCGATCATTTTTAAATACAATACAAGATCGAGAATTTTTATGAAGTGGCAAATCAATATGAATATGACGTGATGATAATGTTGCTTGTTCTAAAAATTATTTTATATGATTATGATGTATACGAAGTCGAGATGCAAAACCACGTAATAGACAAAAACGATCAAGTGAAGAATATTTAAGTGCTGATCAAATAAAATCATTGACTTAGAAAAAAAAATATAATAATTGACCTTATCTCTTTGATCAAGCTATAAAAAGCTTTCTCCTTGTTTCAGAATCATCTTTTATATATGAGAAAGGGAGGTGTGAAGCGCAGCAATCCATTTCACCTTTGCTTCTAAAAATTTTGTTTTTTTCTTATCTAATTAAGTGGTTCATTAAGAATAGCGACAAGAACTTTTTCTAAATTATCAACCAATGTTGATTCATTTTCTTCTGAATTGTAAATAAATGATTTATATAATGTTTCAAATGCCCATATACGTGCATGATTTATTTGGAAGTTTTTATAATAAAACTGTTTGAAGATCTGTTCGAATTTTTAATTGATCATGTTTATCAATATTATCTTCACATATATGACGAATTACATTTAATCCATGATATTGAACTTCTAATGATGCTACATCACTAGTGACTAAACGCTGTACTTTATCATCATATAAAGGTAATTGCACATATGAAGCTAATGTGCCTGTTGTAACATTATTTTCAGTTTTAGATGAATTATTTTAAAATTTTAAAATAGCTCGTTGAAAATCTTTAATTTTCTTTAAATGAACAAGAAAATAACTAAACATACAGCATCAGCATCTTGATTATTATCTTCTTGAGCTTTGTAGTTTTTAAGAATTGTAGCAGCAAGTTCAACAAATTCTGGTACTTGTGCAGCAGTTAATCGATGTGAACCTTGTATAATTTGATCAACTAATTCTGTTGATGGATGATCAACATAAAGAACTACTAATGGATTATTCGATGTCAAGGTACTTGAATCAAGATTAAGTAATCAAGCAGATGGATCATGTGAATAAATTTTACTGAGATATGATAGTAATAAATGTCTATAAAAAAAAAAAAGAAACAATAAATTTTTGATTGATAATGAACAAAAAGAACTCAATAACAATAATAATCAATATTTTCAAATGAAGGAGAAAATCTACTGTGATATTTTATATTATAAATGGAACTGACGCCAGTGGTCGACCGATAGAGATTGTCGAGTAGGATCCATGTCTAAAAGATTGAATCGATAGGCTCTGACATAGACAATCTGAGGGATGTTAATCGTCGAATACAAATAATAGAGGAATAATATCCTGCATCTTCGAAGCTACTTTCAAATTCCAATAAGAAAAGTTTATTGAAGATACGACTGATACGGATTTGTATCCGAAAAATTTCTATAAATCATGTCCGAGTTCAATAATTTTGGGTCCGACAATCTCTATTGGTCAGTCTAGATCGGTCTGGTACCAGTATGGATTCTAGGCCGAACGCTTATCGGTATGCGCTATCTTTTTCCTAGTTCTATTAGAAACATTTATCGAGTGTAAACCAGTCAACTTATAATTAAAGTGAATGAAGACTAATCGTCTGCCACCTTCAGAGTGCATATCCTTTAATCAATTTAGCAAATACAGAAGTTCAATTTTGATCAGTACAGAAGATATTAGATCATATCGTATGAGTTAATCAGTTTCATTTCAAATGATTATTTTTGAGATTCTTAACGTTACAAAACGCTTTCGATTACAAATCAAATCTTCTGCTTAACTTATTTCTTAAGAATACTTAGGGCGTACCAAAAGTTCGTGTCCCGTCATTTAAAGGACCTTGTCGGATGGGGTGAACTGGTTTAGAAATAAGAAACAAATATATCATGTTGTAGAGCTTTTCGAGCCGCATCGAATGGTATATAGTAAATTCTGTTTTCTTAGAACTTTGAACGACCTAGAGTCAA